CTGCTTTTTAGATTTTAGATTGCATCTTGTTTTAACAGGATTATCTCATCGCTGTAGCAAATACAATTAGAAGTTTGCATTGTCGCATAAACAAAAATCGGGGGAATAAGCATTTAGCGAGTCTTTAATGACCCCGTTTCCACAAGCGCATAGAAACAGACGTAATACGACGCTTAAAGTGCGCAAATAGAGTCTTCTTCCCGCGGGGAACGAGACACCGCGAGAAGCGGGACGTCTTACGCGGAGGCGATAATGAATGATCGTCACTTGTTAAACAGTGTCGTTATTTACTGACGCCCGCGTCCCAGAGTAAGGCGATCCCCAGCTATAAGACTAAAACCGATCTTCACTCTTGCGCGCGATATGATAATAAGAACAACAACAGCAACAACAACAAAAAATTTTTTTTTTAACTAGAAAAGACGAGTTTAGAGTTTCTCCCTCTTTGCTACAGAGTTCTTGGATAGAAGGATCCCGCATTACGTAATATGAAAAGTGTTCTTGTTTGCTCCTTTTCTGTTTACGCAAAAAATGTCGATGTTTTTGCTCGCAAAATCGCCGTGTTCCTCCCATATAGTTATTTTTCTTTTGTCGTACGAGCGGATTGCCGTAGATATCCAGTTTCCTCGTTTGTTAAAATGCATGCACACATGGGCACGAGAACAGCAGGAACATTTCGTCACGCGTCAGTTCATATACTTCTGCTGTAGTCGCCAAAAACTTAAGAAACACAGGGCGTAAAAAATACCGAGCATGTCAGTTTCTAAAAAAAAAAAGGTTCTAGAGTATAGCAATAGCATTTATGCTACCGGGATTGCAAGAGTGAACGAACATGTGTGTCTAGGTCTGTTTTTTTTGCCTGGCCTCCGTTGGAAAACACATATCGATAATAAGGGACATAAAGGCCAACAAAACATTGTAGTTCATCAGGCGAAACCTGACCAGTGCGACCCCGGAAATAAAAAACAGGGCTGATGAGACGTTAGTAAGACCCATTATAAAATATGCTAAAATTGTATGGAACCCCTATACAATAACCAACTGCCTTAAACTCAAAAAAAAAAAAAAAATCCAGCGAACTGCATCTAGCCTTAATAAATATAGCTGCGCTTTTTCGACCGCAAAACTTTGTGAGCTCGCGAATCTCCAAACATTGGAATCAAGAACGAAGTATGACATCTCAAAATATATCTTCCAAATTATTCATAACTGTATAAAAATGGAAAGAAATCAGGCTACCTCGATATCTGGGCTAACGAATCATCCCGGCATTGGCACAGTATGTAGTACATTCGCAATCCATTACTAAGAAACGACATGTTAAAACTATGTTACTTCTCTTGATCTATCGAGGAGTGCAATATGTTACAGATGCTGTTCTTTCGTCAACATTGCTTAGTACCTGCACCTTTTCGTATACACGTGCACCTTTTTTGCACGATGTCTTTTACCACGTGTAATACTCATTTTCCGCTGCCCTTCTTGCTTTGTCAGCTCTTTATCAGCTCACTAGATATTGAAGCGCACTTGCCACAATTTACTCTACTCATATTTGTTTATGTACCGCATACAGTGGTTACATGCATTCACTAGTTATGTACCTAAATAACAGTGGTTATGTACCTGTACACAGTGGTAACTTTCATTCGTTTTTTTTTCCATTGAATTATTCACTTCTGTTATAGCCCCACTGGGGCTGACGGTATGAATTAATCTCATTATCGCTCCGCAGCCAATGAGATTGCAGCATTCATCGATAAGCAAGCCCAAGAACCAACCAGGAAGCAAGAGGCGTGAAGATGTTAAGCCACGCCGTTCGTATTTGAACCTCTCAGTGACCCCAACGGTACGAACATTAAGGTGACTTTGAGGCTCTCCGAACATATTTTTTTTTACATTGGCAGTTACTATATGGAAGGAAACAGAAGAAGAGAAGACGAGAGCGCGTAGGTGTCAGAGCGCCGGGCGCTTATCAGAAGGATTAGTGGAGAAGCAGAGACGCCTTTGACTCTATACCCGCTGTCTCTCTCCAATCGAAGCGAACAGGGGCGTCGTCTGTTCCTCCAAAACCCTTTAAAGTCGGCAACAGGTTAAGAGGGAAGTGGATGTTCCTCCCAACTCTCTCCACTTTAGCAGAACAAACGCTGGAGAGGAGGTCGCCTCCTCTCCATCCTTTGCTCTGCTAAAGGGGAAAAAGGTGGGAGGAGCTTCCACTTCACTTTTAACCTGTCACCGACTACAGAGGGCGACACCTGAAACTTCACCCCCCCCCCCCCCCCCTTAAGAAACAACAACAACAACAACAACAACACAACAACAACAAAAGAAGGTCATCACTACACTTTGTTTTTTCTTTAAGTGCAGACGCAGCTGACGCTGGGAGAAGGTAAAGCTAACAATCACGCAGCGTCGAAACAGAAAGTAAGTAGGCCTTTTTTGGTAGTGATATTGGTTCAGCGATGATAGAACAGGCACAGAAACATGTCAAACACCATTATGATGCGCTTCTGACGCTGTCTGACTGGTAGCGTTCGGCGCGTCTGGACTTGAGCTAAAGCGAGGTATAATACGTCCACTCAGTGACGCCTGGCTCGCGTTAGGCTCTGTTATACTCCGAAGATGTGCAAAGCGAACGGTGCAGCGCAGAACGCGCGCGCGTTTCGTTGGCCAGCGAGCAGGAACTCAATATTTGCGACCAATCAGTATCTGCAGCGCTACGCAGCATTTGCTACGCATTTGCTACAGCAACCGCTGATGATGACGTCATGAGCCGGCCTTGTCGACGTGGGGGAATGCGGAGCGCAAGTTTGTGTGCTTCTTTTCTTTTTTTTTTTTGCAAATGTCGTGGTGACATTAGAACGCAGAGAACTGATTGGCGCTGATTGAAGGATAGTGGGTAGACATCAGAGCAAGCTGCCTTGACATCTATATCTACTATCCTTCCAGTCAGAGCCAATCAGAGCTTGGCGTTCTGACGTCACCATGACCCATTCAAAAAGAAGCAGACGAACTTGCGCTTCACATCGGTTCCTCGTCCAGTGTCTGGCGTTTGAAACTCGAACACGAACGCTTAGCGCCGGCGCTTGAATTTTGAACGCCAGACCGATGTTCGAAGGGAAGAGACACCGCTCTTGTTCGTTCTCATTGGGGGGAGACAGTTGGTAGAGTGAAAGGGAAGCTAGCAAGTCCTAGCGTTTACCCCCTAATCATTCCAAACAGAGATCGGATCCTGAGGTCCTCGCGCACTCTCACCACCTCCTCTCCCTCAGTTGCTCGCCGTATAGGATTCCTCAAACATGGAAGGTAATTGGTTCGTCCTCGTCTTCGTCAGATGTCGAAATTAATGGTTTGTAACTTACCTTGTGTGAAGTGCTATCGAACTAAATGCCCCTCAGTGATAATTTCTTAATAAACGAATATAATAATGTAATGCAGACCTTTACTGACGATGGGTTTGAAAGTAGGTTATGTGTACGGGCATGAGAATAGTGCTTCCAGTAGAATAGCGCTGTGCCGTACAAAGCCTCCACGGTGCGAAGGAAATCTACGACAACCGGTTTTCTTAACAATGTCGAGTATTGAAATGAAACTGCGCTATTTGATTGATTGATAAAGTGATGTTTGTTTGTATCAAGTACAACGTGCAGGATATAGGGTACAAGATATTCGAACTGCAATTTGAACACGAATATTTGCACTTTACAGACAGTGAATAGAAGTCATTTCTTTATAGCACATATAAAGTAAAGCAAACAGCGTGTAGCAATAAAATATCTCCCAGAATATAAAAAGTAAAAAAAAAAACATTACCAACAAATGGGAGTTTCAAGTCAACTTCTATTTGTTGGTGTCAAAATTGACTTTTAAGCAACCTTTCTTTCTTCTTTTTTGCAGACACTGGAGTCAGGCAAGTTAAAAACCAGATTGGAGATAATTTGAGTTGACATACAAAAACTAGATACTGAGCTCTTTGTGTCCAAACACGCGATGTTCAGATATAGCCAATGTGCATATATAGCACTTCAACGCGCAAACGCAGTAACCCTTAGCTTGCTTGTTTATATGTTGAAAAAAAAGGACCTAGTCTGAGGCAACGTCCAGTTACAAAGGCGAAGTTTTACAGTTCTTATTTTAATATTCTTGAAGCTACATCAACGTCAATAAAGAGTTGAGATTCTTGAAGTAAATATTAGAGATATGATCACACGTGACCGCGATATCCTGCTGTCGGGCCTGAATTTATTTCTATATTTACTCGTTCTACCAATTAATTCTCACCCAGTACTCTCGGGCTAGAGACCCTGATAGCCTTCAGTCCTGTCTATCACAAACAATTTTCGCGAAGTCACGGTACGCGGTAGGACTGTCTGTTAAGGAAGATTGTGGCACTTAAGATGGATATCAGACGCTCCGGATAAAACTATGGCGAGTCATACATAGGCTGTACCGTACAGAAATGAGCTTTAAAAAAGGAAGCCTTGATATTAGGCTGTTGTCAAATATATTCTACAGGAGTAATCACTAATGACGCTGAGCCATTCGGTTCGAACGCTCGCTCAGCGTCCCATTTCAAAAGGTCGGAACTATTATCTCCATCTATCGTTTTATCCGGTCAATAATTTGCGCACTACACGCATTTAAACGTGTTAATTTTACGCGTTCGGACTATCTAGAGGTGCACACTATAAAAGGATCCGTTCTTTCAAGACCACTCGTTAGGACGACACTTAAGGTATAATGTATAATACAAGCTTTTTTGTGATCTAAGAAAACAGGCAATTGTCAAAGTGCGCCGTGCGTAATTTTTTTTCTTCTGTTGCTGCGTGCAGATAGGCATAAGACACGAACTAATACGGGGTGCGGAGTAAGAATGTGTTTTCTTTGTTTCAGGTTAAACTCTGAAAGCGCACTATGGTCCGAAAAATAAAATAAATCGCGAAAACCAACTCTAGCCTAAGTGAAAGCATAAACAAAGGAGCGAGACAAGAGAGTGGGCTCACCTTCTGCTCAATGCCAGAACGAGGACCACGATCAAACTCTGGCACCGCAGTGAAATCCCTTCAGCATCTCGTCCGTTTCGAGGAAGGGTCACCGCTCGCATTCCACCCCGGCAAAAACTCCTCCAATCCGACTCGGACAATCTAACTTACTCGCTCGTTCAAAAAAAAAAAAAAAAAATGTATATATATACAGATAACTTAACAATGATAGGCTCTACGATTAACACGCAAGTGATCCTGCACTTGTTCCACTAGATACGTCCAATCGCTACACAAACTCCTGGCCGTTATAACGACCCACTATAGGTTTCGAGCGCGGCGCGCTCCGGGACGTTTTGTGTTTCGCCGGCCGAACTTCTCCCCGCAGCTTGTTGAATGCCAACTCGGCGCGAAGCGGATACACACGGCTCGGTACGGCTTCGCTCCACGCGCTTGCTTCCAAGTTTCCGAGAGCGCGGAACCCCGACGCGCATGCGTGGTTCTTGGCTTTTTACCCTCTCGGCGGTTCCTCCTCTCGCCCCCTTCTCCATCTTCTCCTCATCCAGCATCCTTCTCCTCTCATCCTCATCACCTCTCTGCACTCACTCCCTTTCCCTTCAAAGGGTTTTGGGGAAATTCGTCATTCTTTCTCCGATCGTCGGTGTTTTCTCTGCTTCTTGTTTTTGGACGACTATACTTGACTGACATTTTTTTTTTTTTTTTCGGTGCATTCCTTTTTCTTTTTTATTACGTCCTTCGGTACTATTTGAAATTTAGGGTATCTTCGGAGGAGATCCGAATGAAAGAACGAAGGGCCCTAAAAGTTTGCTACTGATCGCAGGGAACACGCAATGGTAAACGCGGCGGGTATGAAGGGAGAGTGGTACAGGATAAAGGTTAGTTCCCCCAAGCTCTTTTTTTTTTTCTTGCTTTGACTTTTCTTTGTTGATGTTTTATCTTGCTCAGTGATGAAGCCTCGCGACCGGAAAGCGCTGACGTGATCGCTACGTATCCACAAGGTAAATCGCTGCTTCGTATTTATTTTATGATCTTTCGTTTACACGTCAACACGAAACGCAGCGTCATTCTAGATCCGTTCTGTTAGCTTGAAATGGCGCACTCAAAAACCAAAAAACCCACAAAAAACTCTAGGTTTCTGGGGGGCCATTGTACTCTGCGGATTGTTTATTTCTGTTCCTGTTCATGATACTTCGGGAAGAAAAAAAAGCAACCCCCCCCCCCCCCCCCCATATAAAACAGAGAAGGAATCACGGTTGATAGCGGTAATGGGACGTATTGTTCTATACAAGACAGGGATTTTTTAATTACTGTAGCCTAACATTTTCTACTGTCGTAGTCACACGGGTAATATCAAAAAAGAAAACTTAAGCTCAAATAAAACTGGACAAAAAAAGAAACAACACAGCCGACCTTTTTTTTTTTTATTACCTATAGAGGACACGATATATTTCTATTTTGCTCACTAAGTGGACAATAAGGAACGCAACTGCGGTATACGCTGACAGAGGCCAAAGAGCGCTAATTTTTTTTTTCTTATGTGACAACATTGCTTTCGAGCAACATTGTATGAAATTTCTTGTGTTGTATAAACAAAGAGGTGGAAATTAATTATTTTCTAATAATAATATAAATATTATGAACAATTACAAAATGATATTTAGAATATAAATTCGAATGCAACAATAAATATAAATAGAAATGTGCCCTGGCGCGCATTTCATAACACTCCCGTTCAGTCAGTTCTGAAAAGACGTCACGTTTGTTTTTTTTAGGCCAATAAAAATAGCTCCCCGAATGGCGGCAGAAGCACTCGAGGCGCTAAGAGTGAGCATGTCGATTTGACGTTTACAAGGGGACCCACAATATCAAAGTTTATTGATCCTTGTTTGCGTTGTAACTTGTACCCGCGTAAACTTTTTTTTTCTTCTGAATGTGAAACAACCATGTCACGACCGGTTTAAAATTTTATGGGCATCGCCCTCCTCTGAAATTCTTAGGTATTTGTTTTATTTTTGGGATTTTTTTCTTCTCCATTATTATATACTATGTTACTTTTTTATTTATTGTAACCTATTTTTTTTTTGAAGTACTGGCCGCTCACAAATACTCGGGTCTAAAACATTGCCGCGAAACTTTTACAGAAATAAAGTTTGATTCAGTAACTAAGTGACATATTTCATGCAAAGGTATAAATTACAACAGATAAATAGAGCTGGGTATAAAGTATTTGGAGGTTAAATATATTACATTTGAAGCGTTGTAAATCAATATTATTAATTTAGGTGTAACATCTAAGTTAAAAGATAACTCTTGTCGACATACGAATACAGCACGACGGGGATTATACACATCTGCAGACTCGCCTAGATTTATAACAACACCACCGCAGCAAGTTAAAAAGGCAGCTAGATGCAAGATATTTAATTTAACTTACTATATAAGAAAAAGCTCAGTGGTTCTTAAAGGTGACATGGAATGAATGAGAACAACAAATTGGAATGGAATCATGCTCTCAGCCGATTGTGCAAGTGCTCAAATTGAGCATGCCACCATGAGGATTGAACAAGCACTTGAGATTGTTCAACAAAACCTGAAAGAATTAACAGGAATAATAAAAGAATAGACCGATCTCACCAGGAGTTGCGTGACGCCACCGCTGCCGCGGTGCATCCTGGTACCTGTAGTTCTCCCCAGTTTTCCGGACGCGTCGATGCGCACTGTACGCCCGGCGTTTGGAAGTTTTCGGGTTAGCACGAGACTTTTAGCCAGGTGTTTACTCATGGTTTTCAATCGGTGGCTTCACATGTTGTATGCCACGGAGCTATAATAACAGCACCAGGCAAAAAGGCCTCGAATATTATGTCTTCCCGCAAGAAAGAAGCATGGCAAAGAAAGGTCAACAGAGCCGGACAGAGCGACTGGAAAAATAGCGTTTTACGATTTGTTTCGCGATTTGCTTCATAATTTATATCCAACCTATTGCACGTCAGCTAAAATGTGTAAGATTACAGGGCACGAGACATGGAGCGTGCCGAAGTGTTCCGTAAGCTGGAATCTCTCTGACCATTTACTCCGTGGCGGTCTATTCGTTGGTCTATCTCAAATAGGACCTCCGCACTGCTTTGTGGACGCCGTTTTTAATACACTGCTTGATCGGTGTATTTTGGTGGTTATAACTGTTATTCCGACGACATGTTTCAAGCACAACTGTGCTTCAAAAGATCAGGGCAATCACTAAAAAAAAGCAGCGATTCCCGATATGCACCACTTGAAATAAAACAACCTTTTCGGAAGCAGCCTTCATTTTTTTTTCATACAAACGTGAAAAGATTACATAATACAATTTAGAAGTGCATCGCGTATTTACCGCGAAAAATGTAACAAACGAACCTCATTCATTTTGTGGTGGTCTATTAGGCTGGTATTACTGATCCATTCTGCATTAGCACCAGTCGAGGCCGCAGAAAAAAGCTTCCCCCGTCGGGCGACTATTAGCGTTCGGATCTTGCGCAAACAAAATAAAACTGAATAGAAACTGTGCACGAAAATTCATCTCCACCCCAAGCTTTCAAGTATCTGGCATGGTTGCTTCTTTTTGATAGATGCCAATTATTACGGCGCGTCAGGCATGGCCTTTCTGTAGATCAGTTCTTTGTGTGCAGGCTTCTCCCGCTGTTCATCTGTACTCTGTCGCACAGGCTGTCAACCAGAATGAAACAACTTTTAGAAAACTATCGCTCACCGAGAAAGTCTATTTAGCTCCTCTTACTTGATGGCTGATTAAACGTTATGCACAAGACTGAGCACCACCAAGCTCAGTTTTTCATCACATTTGATGCTGTTCTGTGGTGCTACACCGAGCCGATGGTCCTCGAATTTTGTTGTTCTTTGCTATAGCACTAGATATTCACTTGTTTGCAAGGTAATTGAGACGTCCGAGGAGTCGGAATGCTCCAGTAGTGGCGCCGTTGTTTGTTTTTTTTTTTTTTTTTTTCGCGGCCGCAGTGGGATTACCGCGTGAACGGCAGTGGGCTCACGCGTTCACGAAGACGAAGAAGCAGACGACAAGGCGATTCTAAAGCGATAGGACGGCTGAAACTGCTTTTCTGCACTTGCTGAGGAAAGTAAGGCATCACAAACAACACAATCTTATGAAGTAACAACATGCAAGAGAATCAAGGTGATACCGGGGCGTGCCAAATGATAATCTATGATGATGTGCGTACGCGCAGCCGTATGTAGCCGGGAAGCCGGGAAGGGATGACTACAAGTAGCATGGCGGCGGCACCACTTCCGGAATCCGCGCGCCTGCGCAGTTCGCTTGGTGACATCGGTCTATTAGCTTATCTGAAATGCATATAACATACATTATATTATGACTCCGATACGTGAGGCTGTTTAAATATATATTATTGTTACACTGGAAAGAGTTTGAAATAGTGGGATCCGCTTTGTTCTGCGCCAATGTAATAATTATTCAAAGTTCACTGTCAGAAAAAAGTGAGAGCCGTTTACAACTCCCTGTAACGCCGAATTAGAGCGCAGCCCTTATGGAGGAGGAGGAGGGAAGGCTACTGAGGGGAGGGTATACCCCTCGGCCCTCCTCACCTCGTCATCCTCCCTCCTCTTCCTCCTCCTCACCTCGTCATCCTCCCTGCCACTCCTCCTCTTCCTCCTCCCCCTCGTCTCCTGCTCCCCCCTCCTCCTCCTTCAGCTCCTCCTCCTCCCTTCCTCCCCCTCCCTCTTCCTCCTCCCGTCTTTCCCCTTCTCTTTCCCTTCCCCTTTTCTCTCCTCCCACCCTCCCCTCCCCCTCCTCCTCCCCGCGGGGTGCATTATGGGAAATGTCTCATAATGCGCCGCGCGGGGAGGAAGAGCGGGAGGGAACTCCCCTCGCGGTGCATCATGGGAAATGTCCCATAATGCACCGCGCGGGACCCTCGTGACGTCACAAGGGTCCCGTGCGGTGCATTATGGGACATTTCCCATAATGCACCGCGCGGTTACGGCGACGCCGAAGCCGCTCAAGCCGGAAACGGGCGCCTAAAGGCGCGTTCCCACCGGCGATGCGAACTAGTCGCGCGATAACTTTCATCGCAAAAGC